TATGTCTAAAAATCTCAACTCAGGGAATGGAGCGCTAATGTTGTTGAAAAAAAAAAAAAAAAACTAGAAAACTTGAAAAAGTGGTAAAGTGGTCAAAACTATTTTTTGGGTTTTGAAAAACTCATTTTCAAAAACATTTTAAAAATCTACAAATTTTCATGGACAAACATATTTTTTAAAGAAAAAAATCCGTAACAAGGAAAATATATATATATGAACAAACGGGTCCTTAAGAAAAATTCTTCCTTAAAGAATGTATTGCTATATATTTAATTTTATCAAATGTGAAAAATCAGAAAATATTTTCGTTCCATATGACTTATAAGCCATGGTTTGAACCCTGAAATATTCCGATGGAATAAGCTGCCGATATCACACTTCATTAGGATGCGATCCTTCTTTTAGTCTTACGTTTTGGCAGAATATTTGGTCCACCGAACTGTCATTTCTACGTACCAACCACAATGGCGTAGGAATTTGGAAATGAACTCAACTTGACCAAGAAAGCAAGTTTCAGTCTTCACATCATTTACTTATGTGGGTTGCTAAGTCTTTTGAATCATATTATAGTCTTTACACCAAATATGATACCTATAAAATTTTCTGTCGACATATAAGACTTTCATATTATATATATATTACGTTGCATCGTACTATTTTATTATTTTATTTATTATTGTTGTGATTGTTGTTATTTCAAGAGTTTAAAGTTCTCTACACTTGAAAAAGGTATCCGGGGATTTTGTAATGTACAAAACCACCTTTTATTTGATATATACATGCAAAATTCAAAATTCCTACCTGAATTGTGACCATCACGATATTTTTATTTAATACTTTTTTGTTAACAAGAAAAACCATAATCGCTATTCTTAAAGTGCGCACAGGGTATACATTGTTTTGTATAATAGCCCATAAATCACACAAGAGAATAAATCATTTTAGACAAGCTCCGTGCAAAGGGCTCGACCAAAGAGGTATGCAAGTGGGTTTTGAACCCCATACCTCCCATTGGGAGTCACGTGCTCAACCAACTAGGCCACCCCAAAGGGTCTTTTATTTAATATTATATTATATAAATTCTCACTAATCATATTTATCCATTTAAATTCATCTTAATACTTCATCCGTTTCAATTTATGTGAACCTATTTCATTTTTAGTCCGTGCCAAAACAAATAATTTCTTTCCTTATTTGGAAATAATTTACCTTTATGCAATGATTTATAGCCACACAAAATATATGTGCCTCATTTTATATCATAAATTTAAAAGTCTTCTCTCTTCTCTTAAACTCCGTGTCCAATCAAATAGGTTCACATAAATTGAAACGGAGAGAGTATTATACTATGGGGGGACAAGAAAACAAGATTGGTATTTCTGATTGACATATTGCCAGAAGGAAAATATGCAGAAATTTCACCTTCTAACTGTTGCTGAGAAAAATTTAGTAAGTTAAATAGGAGTATAAAATATTCAACAAGTCAATGGTTGAAAATGTGTGCTTATACAGTTTCATGTTTGTTTCCTTTCATTTTCCATGAAAACACGCTTTTCATTAGTCAATACGTACACATAAGTTAACATTACCAAACACATGGAAAAACTTGTATTAAAAAATAACTAAGTCTTGAAAACTTGTACTTATATTAGAAAACCTAAGTGTTGAACATAAAAAACCAGCCCCTTCTTCTTCAGAAAGATCGTCCAATGAATCTGTAGTCTGCGCAAAACTCGGTAGCCTCAATATGGGCTTTGATGAAGATGATAATCCATTTACTCATCACCGTAAAATCAAATATGATATCAACAGCAAAATTATGCTCAGTGCCATAATATCACTATCCATAGTTGTTTTCCTTGTTACTATTCTCCATATGTACATTAGATGTGTCATTAGACGTCGTCGCCAAGCTCAAGGCCGAGCTATGTTCGGCACGAGCTTGGTTACAAGTATTGTGTCACAAGTTGAGCCACCAAAAAATGGGCTTGATCCATCTATTATAGCTTCACTCCCAATATTTGTTTACAAGCAAAGTGATGACCATAACATGGACGAGGCAATTACTAATCCAATTGAGTGTTCAGTTTGTTTGAGTATTCTTGAAGATGGTGAAATTGTTAGAATTTTGCCTAATTGCAAGCACACTTTCCACATAGAGTGTATTGACAAATGGTTCAATTGTCATTCTACATGTCCTATATGTCGAGCTGAGGCGAAACCTCAGGTATTGCCTGAGCCTAGGGAGGGTGTTGTTAGTCGTATTCCTCCGTCAGCGCCGCCTTTGGATGGTGGAAATTTGTCTATAGTTGTGAATCTTGAAGGGACTTCATCATCAGGTAAAACTACTATTGGTGGTGGTGGATCAAGCTCGAGATTGAGCTCGTTTAGAAGGATTCTTAGCAAGGAGAGATCATCTCGACGACTTCAAGTTGAAGATCCTGAGAGCAGTGGCGGATGCAGAATTTAGACGTTGTGGTTTCTGAATTGAGAAAATGAATATATACAGTTCAACCTTGGAGCATTGGATACTGTCGAACCAATGAACTCATGGTTGGATCTGTCACTGAACTTGAAAGTGATAGTAATATTTCGCAATAGGTATGATTACAAATACTATTTTTTTGTTTGTTTATATTTTAAATTCCATTGTGCTTCTCCATTTTCTTAATTAGTCACAGTGAGACACATATAGAGTACATGAGACGCATTGATAAATTATTTCTCCGGCCATAGTGTTTTGTATGCTTATTTTGCCAGATGACTTTGATTATACTTTTGTGTATATCATATGTGAAATTTACTGTAAATAAAAAGAATGGAGTTTGATATTATGATTGATGAGGTCCAAGAAATGATTCTTATTTTTGGTTACCTAGCTAAAGATTAACTGATAATTAGCGCATGCTTTGGTTTATCACACAATTAACTTAAATCAAAGTAAATTTTACTCGAGACGCACAAGTGTATTAAGATTAGTTTGAAAGAGGGAAGCTTTGATTTCCAACGTCAGATTAAGATATCTAGTTTAATTGACAGCAAAATTGTAACAGAGAAATTAGGAATTTTGGTTCATCCTTCTGTCTGCTTGCATTGAATTGATAGGAATGAAATGGGCCAAAGGAAATACAAAGATTTACTTTTAGGAGGGCAACCTAGATTTTCTATCTATTTAAACTAACAAATTGTCATGGTGTGATAAGTACTCTATTATACTTAATCATGTTCGGGTTCGTCCTGAATACGGAGTCACCTTTAGTAGGGAGCGCTTTATCCCAAAATTAATGGTACTTCCAAGCAGAGGCAGGCCCAGGATTTGAGCGCATCGGGGGCACCGCGATTGACATATATATGTCAGCTAGTCTAATAAGATCAAGACTAAAGGTGTGTTAAGCAGCTAAAGCAGAGTCTCAGTCACTATCATTAAATCTTCAACGGATATCTGCTACTTTACCGAATTGATCCTTGAACGCGGAAGGATTTTTGGAGTTTTTTTATTAATGTTTTGAATTTTTTTATTGAATTACTTATTTTTATACATGTCAAAAAAATGATAATGCTTATAAACTTAATTATTAGGACAAAGAAGGTGATTGGCTTCTTGGTAATGGAATATCTTATTCCCTATCCAATTTCCTTTAATATATTTTTGTCTCTCTCTATTACCTTTTGGATGTCTAGAAAGATATTTCTCAAAAGAGTTTCAAACTATTTTGTGTAGAGGTTGACTACTATGTACTAGTGCTAAATAATTGTTCATAAATTTAGAAAAGATAAAGAAAAAAAAACCAAGTTAAACACTAAATACAGGATACTATTCTATCTTGAATTCAAAGAGGAAAAAAATAAAATGAAACAAACAGCTAGTATTGGGTCTCAAACCCAGGTCACATAGTGTAAAGCAATAAATGTCGCATACTCAACCAGCGGAGCAACCATCTTTTGTTTGATGGAGCACATCAAAATTATTTAAGGGTCCTTGTTGTATAAACAAATACAGTTTTTCTCGAGGCTAGCGGATTCCGGTGACCCCTCTACGTCCCATGTAGGTCCGCCTCTGCTTCCAAGTGAGAATCTAGATTAGTCAGAACCCAACGACGCTACCCGACATTAGGTAGGAATTCAAATACAAAACAATTCTATCTATTAACTGTTCAGGAGATATAATCTGTATTTAAAAGATTCTTTTTCCTCATGTAAAATTCAATAGTGCAAAGACTGTGTCATTAACATCACAATTTAGGTGTAGTTGAAGATTTCAGCTGCAAAAGGTCCAGACAAATAGGACCATTTTAAATATAATTAAAAGGAAGTAGTAAATCCAGAAATAAATGCTAAAATATTGAATTCTTAATCCTAAAATAGATAACTTTGTTAGGAACACACCATGTGGACTCCAATTATGGGTAAAATTTTCAGCAATCAGCAGTACAAAAGTTCTGCTGATGATATGAAACAGAACATTCAGAATTAGCACAGTTACAATGGCTATCTCATACAACACAATATCCTTTTTGTTCTTCACTATCCTTTTTCTCCAAGTACCCAAACATCATTCCTTAATCTCAGATGATTTAGTTTCTGAATTGATTATCCTTCGTTCTCAATCTTCCACTGGTGTCATTCACCTTTCTAACAAATTACTTAGGCGAATTTTATCGGTACCTGTCCCTAGGCCATTTTCTTTTGTTATATTCTTCGATTCATGGAAGCTACATTCAGAGACAGAGATTTCACTTCCAAGTCATAAAAAAGAGTTCCTGCTTCTCTCTTCTTCATTCCACACAAACAATCCACATATCAAGAAACCGTTTTTCTTTGACATTTGAGTTTCAAGAATCACAAGCTTCTTTTGCTCTATTTGGAGTCAAGCCTCTCCCTTATATATGTTTAGTCCCCCATTTAGCTACTGATTTCAAAACGGATTCTACTCAAATGAAGTCTGGAAGTACAAGAGAGGGGGTGAATTGCTTATTTTAAAATAAGTTATTATAAGTTACTAGTTTACCAATTAGTCCACTAGAAATAAGAGTGAGATAGTAACAACAACAGCAACCCAGTATAATCCCACTAGTGGGGTTTGGGGAGGATAGTGTGTACGCAGACCTTACCCCTACCCTGAGGTAGAGAGGTTGTTTACGATAGACCCTCGTCCCCCTCCCTCCAAGAACTCCCCACCTTGCTTTTGGGGTGACTCGAACTCACAACCTCTTGGTTGGAAGTGGAGTGTGTTCACCACTAGAGCAACCCCCTCTTGTCCAAGAGATCCTGCACTTTACTTCTGCATTTTAATTCTGTACTTCGTAGAGCGAGATAGTAAGAAGTACAAAATTAAAATGCAGAAGTAAAGTGCAGGAATTAAAGACATCGGAGTTTTTATACTGGTTCGAATTTAATGTGAATCCTAGTCAAGTCCCCAAGGGTTGCAAGGGTGTTCTCTTTCAGTTATTGAATTTTTTGAGTACAAAGTGAATGGTGTAGTTTTACACCAACTGGTCAGTTTCTATGTCTCTCGTATTTTCTTGATACAATGCCTCACCAGTAATTTTCTCTCTTTCTTATCTAACTTGTTACACACCAAATCTAGTAGAACTACAATGTTTGTTTGAAGTAGAACAAAGAGAAAGTAAATGATTTGATCAAAGTATATCTCTTTAAGTCTGAAACTATCGTATATATACTTTCCAGGAGGCTTTAGAGTCTAGAGAGATTTGCGAACCCAAGAGATTTAATCTTTGAAAGGAATCACAGATTGATTCTTTCCAAGAATAAGGTTGATTCCCGTTATACTTCCTTGATGAGTGGACTTTGATAGCTTTCCATCTTTAAGCCTTAGTATCCGCCGGATTTTCAATGTTGGTTATGCCTTTGCCGAACCTTTAGTACTTCTTCCCTTTTTATTGTTGATAGCTTCAATCATCTTCTGATTGATATCTTCCTTCAGCTTTGATTTCTCTCCTTGATGGCTTCAATCATCCTCTGATTGATATCTTCCTTTAGCTTTGGTTGATTATCTATTTCCGGACCTTTATTGCTTCGCTGGTTCCTTGATTGCTTTAGTCAATCTTTGATTGATACTTCCCTTTTTACTTTGATCCTAATTGATTTCCTTGAGTCCCTACATCAAACACAATTATATTATTTTTCATCATTAAAACTAAAATCTGACAATCTCTCCCCTTTTTCATGATGACAAAATAATATGTATAAACACCAGTTAACTTCCCTATAATTTTACTCCCCCTCAATGGGTGCAGTTGACTACCCCTCAATGGTTGCAATTGACTCCACCTCAATTAGTCGACTCATGTACTTGCAAAGGTTATATCTTTTTTCTCCCTTTTTTTGACATCAGCAAAAAGGGAATACCACTAAAGCAAATAATATAGCGTATAACCATTAAACATGCAATATAACTAAGGATGGCATGATAAGCACGCAGAGTCATAAAAGAAAGAAAAAACATCAGGTTGACTGGTTAACTAGTCCAAAACAGCAAAACACAAAAATTGTTTGAGATTTCCACCACTAGTGACGCAGGAAATAGGTAAGAGTGTTGCAGATGGCCTACTTTAGACGGTCAAAGCTGGCATTTACTTCAACGGTGACCCCATCAATCCTGTCGTGAACTTCATTGAAGGCTTTGACTGCATTTTCTCCAAGTCTCTGAATTCTGACCCTTATCTTGGAGACGTCCGACCCTGTTTCCTTCGACATTGTGTGAATGTCACCAACAGTGGACTGAGTGGTAGTAAGGAGTTCTTGGATGTTGATCAGCTTGTTATCAATGACAGTCAATTTTTCAATGATAGCAGGATCACTTACACTGTGAAGAGAGATAGAGGATTTGACCTTGGAGTCAGGTTTAACACTTTTGACTTCACCGTCCTGTTTCTTTACCCAAGTGCCATTTACACACATATACCCCATACTAACAAAAGCCCTAGAATTGTAGGATTTTGACACAGAGACCAGAGGGTATTCTAAGATGGAGATATTGTGGGCTTCTAAGATATAAGAGATGTCCATACCATAAGGTAGACTGGCGGGATCATCAGCACTCTCTATCATAAAATTTATGACCCAGGAGGATAACTTAATCTTGAGTTTAGTCACAAGACAATAAACAAGAAAGGTGTCTCCTTGAGAGAAGGTAGAGAATAATGCAGTTCGAGGAAGAAGAGTGGTTGCAACAATATGGTCTAAGACACGAGTTTCAAAGTTAACATCACTAGGACCTAACTAGTTTGGGAGAGAATTAGAAGAGCACTCAGCAATACAGCGTTTTGCTTGATCAAAATAAATTTCAAAATCATTAGGCCAAGTGTTTTTGAAAAGCATTGGAAAACAAGAGCATTTACACGAGAAAATTGAGTCAAACATAGAACAATCAAGAACAATGCGCTTACCCAGAATAAAGGATTCTAACATATCAGGCTTACTAGAGCAAAGATTTCCATAAAACATTTTCACTAAAGGTTCAGAGACTTTAGGAAGGGGTAAAGAGAGGAATTTTGACCAACCTTGAAAGGCAAAAAGATCTTTTACCTTAAAGTTGAGGGTTTCCATGACACCAAGATCAGCAATTCTGCCATGAGCAATGGGCTTGTCTTTTAGGGCAAGAAAGAAATCCATGTTTGGGGAATCCCAAAAATTGATGATTCTAAGGAGCTTGAAAGGTCTACTCTGGATATTTTAGGAGTAAGGGTTTCAGGAGGATCTTCCATGGACCTTTTTCCTAGAGCTTTTTCTCCTAAGTGAGAGTAGTCTGAAAGTTCTACCTGTGAAGAGGCAAAACCTTCGGAGTGGTCAGATCCTATGTGTACGGGTTCTG